AGCATGAGCAGTGTTAATTCTGGACTCTCTTGCTCTGCACCCTCTTGTTGCCTTTCAAAACTTGTGGGTCCCAGTGGTTGCCTGCAGTTGCTAATTCAATATAATAGCATTGCAGAATTGCTTTCAAAAATGATGTGCTCCAGTTTCAAAGAGGTGTTCAAACCTGAGTGAAGAGGAGAGAAAAGCACTGGTTAAGGAGGCTCCAGACAGAATATAGGCCCTCAGTGACACAAAAGTCCTACTAGCTTCAAGGCAGCTATATGTGAGAGCTTCATGGGCAATGGACAACAGGGAACAGAGTAAAACTAGAGAAGGGGAGATGAGGTTGGAGATCAGGAAGAAATTCTTCCCTGTGAGGGTGCAGGAATTTGAATTTCCTTACTGGCTGCTCTTGATGTCTGCCTTTGTTACCAAAACATAACCTTTCTTGATGTGTAATTTGCTTTTTTTCTCTGTTCTGATTTCTGTTTTTCTACTGGGATTAGTGTGAGACTTTATTTTAAGGACTTGGCTCAGCTGCTTGTTTTTCACTAGCTTCTTTGATATTTTGACAGAACTACAATCGACCTCCAGTAATGGCCTTAGCTGTCCCAGTGGCAGTGAAGTTCCTTCAGAGGGGTAACAAGGAGCTGTGCAGGAACATGTCCAGCTACCTGTCCCTGGCTGCCATTGCCAAGGTGGAGCTGCTGGCTGATCACGCAGACACCATTGTCAGAAGTGTCCTGCAAGGTAGGAACCCTTGGGAATGGTTGGATTTAAACCTGCAGTGTGCCCACTGTTAGATTAGTTGGGTTGTGTTAGGCATAGACTAGAGAATCATACAATGGCTTGAGTTGGAAGGAACCTTGAAGCTCACCCAGTCCCACCCTGCATGGGCAGGGACACCTCCCACCAGCCCAGGCTGCTCCAAGCCCCATCCAACCTGCCCTTCAACACTGCCAGGGATGGGGCAGCCACAGCTTCCCTGGGCAACCTGGGCCAGGCTCTCACCACCCTCACAGTGAAGAACTTCTTCCTACTGTCTAAGTCTCCCCTCTTCCAGTTTTAACCCTGTACACTTTGTCCCCTCACTCCCAGCCCTTGCAAAAAGTGCCTCCCCAGCTTCCCTGTAGCCCCCTTAAAGCATGTTATATGTAAAACATGAGGTAGGTGTGCATGAAGCATCCATAGGGACATCTCTCTAAATGTGTGATGGAACATGTCAGACACAATCTGGGAACAAGCTGTATCAAGAAAGGCATTTCAAGAAAATATGAATTTACCAAACTTTGACTCTGGATGTTCTGTGATGGGTTGGGTGCCAGCTGGGCAGGAAGCACAGCTGTACTGGGATACACTGCACTCCTGGGCTTCCAGTTATAAGCCATGGTGTGAGACAATGGTTACTGGGCTCTTATTCTTTCCTAGTGTCATTGGCAACACACCAAAATATAAATGGGGATGAAATTAATCCCATTCTGTGGCAAAATGGTCAGATGTAAGACATAAAAGCTTTGTAGTTCTTTAATTTGCCTGCAGTATTAGCTTTACTTGGAATATTGTTGCTAAACTCTGTGCATTTTCCTTTCCTGGTTTAAAAACTAAAAGTATTCATACCTCCCCAGAAGGAAGTTCAATTTAGTTAAAGGTATAAAGCTCACAGTATTTGTTGCAGCCCATTGCTGCTGCAGTGCTGACATCCCTGTTTGGGTTCTGTTTTTTCAAGTCTGGGTTATAGCACTGAGCAGCAATAGCTGTCTCATTATTCCAAGAACATAGTTATGAAGATATTAAGCCCTCACCTTAAATATGTGCATTATAGATTTATCAAAAAAATAGCAAGTGTAGTTATTTTTAGGTGTCTTATGAAGACAAAGCTGAACTATAAAGTAGTTTTCTTGGTAAGACATGGTGATAAGAGTTCTTAAAGCACAACAAATGTGTGAGAAGCATGATAAATATGTATGAGCCAAGTGATGATGCTGAGCCCAAGCAGAGAATGTTGCTAATGGCTAACAAAGCCACATGGATAATTCTCTGAAGGCTTGAGATGAGTATTTGTGTGTTAACATGGTGCCTCGCCTCTTGTAACCCAGTGCTCTTGATAGAAAGTGAAAGGGATTTTGTTGTATAGTCCTGAGCTTAAGTGCTTTCCACCCTCAGCTGAAGGTTGAATCGTGACTGTTCCTGCTCGTTTGGGTGTGTTTATGTTGTTCTACCAGCAGATGTTGCTATGGGCATCAAGTTTTGAAGCTCCAGCCTGGAAGGGCTCTCCCAGTGAGCTCAGGGCTCTGGGTTGCACACTGGCTTCACTGCACTGCACATCACTGGGCTTGGGGCATGGGAGGGGTGGTTTGCAGAGGGGTAACAACCCTGCTGACAGGCTGCATGTTTGCTGAGGGGAGCAGGAGGATGAGCTGCTGAGGATGGATTTCCAGAGCAGTGGAGACCTTGTTGTGGTGCTGCAGAGCAGGCTCAGCCCCACAGCACCCACAGCCTGACAGTGGGATTTGGCCCCTTGCCTGGGGGGTGGGAGAGCTGACCGGGTTTGCTGGTTACCTGGGGCAGCTGCGTGGCTGCATCATCAGTTCCTCATCTTGTCAGCTAAAAAAAGAGCTCTTTAGAAGGAGTGTTTAAGTGCTGTGCTGCAGTCAGTGTGAACTCAGCCCCCAGCCACGCCGCTGTACCGGGGCTCAGGCAGGTTTATTCCCCTTTTCCAAGAGAAAGCAGCAAAACTGCCCTGTTTTGGGGCTTGTTGCTGTAAGCTGAGAGTCCCACGGCTGCTCCACCTTCCAGAGAAGCTCAGGAAAGGGATGTGGGTGTTACATTCAGCTTGTTGAGAGCAGACCTGGGCTTAGCAGGGAACTTCAGCCCCGCAGCTCTTGTTTCTTCCTACATCTGCAGTGCAAGAGGAGGGTAGCACTGGTTTTTCCATGTATGGAGCCCAAGCTCCCCAAACACTGTTTACTTGCTGTTTTCCAGCAAAGTAACTGTTGACAAAGACACAGTTAAGTTAGAGAGGAAAAAGAGGTGTGGATGGATGGAGGTGACTTGTGTGGGGGACACTAGGCTGTGGGAAAGCCTTGCTAGTCCACAGAGGTGATAAAGGAAGAGCAAAGTAGCTGGAAAGAGGAGAGTTTTTCAGCTGAGTCAGTGGGGATGAAAGGACTGGCTTTGCAGTTGGGTCATCTGCCAAGCAAGAACCCAGATAGGGAAAAGCTACTTCCAAGACCAATCATTCCAGGTATGAAGCACAGGGAGAAAAACAGCCAGGAAGGACTTTTGCTGATCTTTTTTTTGACGATTTTGTTTTTCCAGCTGCATTTCACAAACATTTGTTTTCCTTTAATGGAGGGCACTATAGGAAAGAGGATTTGAGAGTAGTTTGGCCCTTGCACGATGCTGGGGCCTTGAGTGTTTTTCTTAGCTCTGAAGATGTGGTTTCTGGATGACATTTCATTGTTCTGTAGCTCAGGTGATTTGCAGATAATATTTAGTAAGGCATTTTTGTCATGCTTACTATTTTATAATTTACATACATTTTTAATTGCAGCAAGGAATTCCAGCAAGCAGAGCAGTTATTTTTACCTTAAGCAGTGTTGGCAAAGCTTTGGAGCAGATCATATAACTTTAACTATCAAGGGCAACCCCCTGAATGGCACAGTAGGTTGGAAATTACCTTGTAGCTTTTTACTACTCTGGTATCATGGAAGGAAGGGCCTGGTAGATGCATAATATTCAGGAATAAGCAGAGCAGCAACATGTAAAGAGCTGCTATGAAGTGTGGTCTGTGGAGAATGAGAGAGAACCATGTCAGCAGAGCTGCCAGGTGCTGCTTCCAGCAGGAACAAGAATTGCTTTGAGTAAGGCCTTCCCCACCACACCTTGTGGCTTCACCAGGTAGTGAGGAATCATTCTTGTCATCACTGGTTACCTACCGAGTGACTAGTGATCCATCATAGTCTACTCTGGCTCATTTTTCACCTTTCTACCTAATTCTTGGATTTTGTTTCTCCAAGAGTGTCTATATGACACATTAATGTTGTTTTCTGTTAGCAGCTAAAACTGTGTGGTTGGAAAAAATCTCAGTTGGAATTTACTTCCAGGGTTTCAGTTCATGAGAAGCCTGGAAACTTTTAGTAAAGTATTTTTATTTACAAAACAGCTTTACAAAAATAATTTCAATAAAATTATTACCAAGTCAATTTACAATATAATACAGCTGCACTTGCTCAAAATGTAACATCAGGTTATGATGGGGTTTATTACTTTTATACGTTGGGTCAACCCCTGGCATAAATAATGCTTTAAACAAGGAGCTAGTTCTGGTATAGTCTACAAATTACTAACAAGGATTAGCAAGCACAGCATTCCTTGGCTGTGCAATTCACATTAGCACTGAGAGCCCAAGGGCTGGAGGAGCTGGGAGGCTGCTCAGCCTCCTGCCTGCTGTGCAGGGAGGGGCAGCTGGACACCCAGGGGTTTGTTTCAGCAGGGATCCAGGAGCATCACAGGGCTCCAGGTGTCCATGGTGGCACACTGCCCACCTGAGCCAGCAGGCATCCAGCCTCAGGAAGGCTTTTCAATGGTGTTTTGTCAGTGTTTTGCCAAAACAGCAGGCAGAGACCAAATCCCATCTCCACAGCATCTTGGTGTGTAAACTTGCAACACTCGTCTTGGGAACTGGAGAGATGTGGGCCCCTACAGCTCTGTGTGCTTGGCTGTGTGTTCAGCTCTTGATGGGATACCTTCTCTGCTCCAGGAACTGCCTCACCAGCACTTAGGAAACGTACTGGGCTCCTCCATAGGGCAGAACTTCTGTGACTCCCCACCCGACGACGTTGCCCCTGATACTGCACCCACCTTCCCCGCTCTGTGCTGCAATCTCCCTGGCACTCAGCACTCTGTCCCACATGTTAAAGCCAGTTAACCTTCCAGAGAAGGCTAAAGCTTCATCAAATCCACCTCCAACGCAGCAGCCGTTCTTTTCTTGACCAATCTGCAAAATCCCTCCTTCTGGAATGGTGTGGGCGGTGGCAAAGCCCAGGGCACTGCCTTCAAGCTCTCCCTGCACCCACAGGGAGGCAGATCCGTTCCCTGAGCTCCAGGTGCCACAGAGATGGATCCACTTCCCAGAAGCAACTACATTTTCAACAGCCAACTTGTGCTGGCTGCCACCAACGACCAGCACTGCAGACTCCTGGCTGAGGTAAAGCTGGATTTCATATGGATTGAACTTGGTTCCGTAGGAGAAGACAATGGTTTTGTCCAAAGCCTCAGTCACCCTGATCCAGATACAGGCAGTGAAGGAGTGAAGGGTCATTCCAGCAGTTGGGTGAACGCTGCCAAATATCTTCTTTGAACGCATTGGGAATAGAATTGCTGTTTCACACCCTGAAAAAGTTAGAAGGAGTGTTAGGCAGATGGGAACTGGTGTATTTGTACACGCAGGGTTAAACACACACTCACTCCTGGGATTCTCAAAGGGAGCTGAGAGCATCTGGGGGGATGTAGGATGCTTTGAAGAAGCTGTTGGGTGTGATGGATAGATGGATGGGATACTGCAGCCGTGGCTCTAGGGGCTGATCCAGCTGCAGGAGCAAGACTTGGCTCCCCCCTGGCTGCAGAAGGGCTGTGTTGTACAGTCCTGTGCCCTGCAGGAGGGCCACTGAGGCTTCATGCTGCTCTGGTGCTTGCCTGGGACCCTTGCACAGGTAGGTGCCTTTTGCTCTGCCTCACCTGCTGGGAGAGCTGCTCTTTTGCTGCCTCACCTAGATAAATTAGCACTTCACCTGAGTAAGGACACCAGGTAGTCATTACTATGAAAGTCTCTGTCATTTTGGTCTTGTTTTAGCCTCTGTTCTTTTTTTCAGTGCTGAGTGCCCCATCCCTGGCAGTGTTGAAGGGCAGGTTGGGTGGGTCTTGGAGCAACCTGGGCTGGTAGGAGGCATCCCTGCCCATGGCAGGGAGGTAGGACTTAGGTGATCTTTGGGATCCCTTCCAACCCAAACCATTCTATGAAAACAGCACCGTTGGGTTGAGGGGGTGTGGGTTCAGTGACCTCTCAACAGGCAGGTTCCTATCCTGTGCTGTTCCTGGCATATCAGCAGGACCCTGCCCCTGGGTACCTGTCACCAGTGTGTGTTCTGTGGGTAACTGGGAAGCAGGGGAGAAGGGGACAGGAGCTACTGAAAAGCAGGCACAGGGAGTGTTGGCAGAAACTTGCTGAAATGTGATGGTTTATTTAGTGGTAATGACTCCCTCTTCTGACTCTGCCTTTAGTGCTGCTGGTCAGCAAAGTTCCTGTGCTCTGGAAATGTACAAGGCTGATGTTTTTATCATAGTACAGCTCATTTCCAATTAACATCTTGATGATAGAAACGAGATTAGTTAAAACCACTAACAGACATTTATGAAACTAAAAAAAAGTAACCAATGATTTCTCAGCCCAAGTAATTTCTGGTGTTCTATGCACTGTGCCCTAGTTGTGGATAACTTGACATTCTGAGAGGCATGGGGGGAACAGCAGCCCCCTGCTACAATTAAGCTGGTTCATTTCCTGTTTAAACAAGCTAGAAGGTCTAAAATGTCTAAACCGTGTGTGGAAACTTCTGGTTCAGGGAATGAAGGACTCTTTGTGTCCTCCCAGGTTGTGCTGCTGTGCTGTTTCACTTCCTTTCCCCTTGGAGCAGATTGTACATTTCTTCCTTGGCCCTTCTGAGGAGGGGCAGGGGCAGCAAACAACTGTTGGGGATACTCCTTAAAATGCTACTTAGGAGCACAGTTGGGGAAAAGCTTTTAATTAGCAAGCTTTCAGGCTTTATTATCAAAGCCTAAACAAAATTAGAAACAGACTCACTGAAGAGCAGAAGGGATGATTAGAAAATCCCTGGAGTATGGCTGGCAGTAATTCAAGATGGGAGAAATTAAAGGCAGTTGCTAAAAATTCTCTTGGAAAAAAAAATATTCCAGAAACTGTCTCTGGAATTACTTAAAATGTACCTTTTAAATTAAGAATAAGAACATTTTAAGATAAAATAACGTAGGAACCAGTGGAAATAATCTGGCTTTCCTCTGATAAGACTGAGATTCTTACTGCTGATCAAGTTTTTTACTCTCACCTAGTGCAGAGTAATTGACTGCAAGGCTGGCTGGGGTTCAGGAGAGATAAAGAGTGAGATCATGGTTTCTGCAGGGCGAGATTCATGTGTCTGGGGAGAAAAGGAATATGCTGCAAGATCTGCTCCCAGCACAGAAAGATTACTACAGTGTTATGATAAAGGAGTAAAGACAGTTTAGTCCTAAAGCTGAACCATGCCCTGCTTGAGAGATTCGTGTTGGATTGTAAAAGGCTTTGATGTGAGCTGTGGTTCTGTGGTGTTTGCTTTGTAATAGGCCTGTGGGAGCTGCTGCCTTTGCTTTAGCAGTTACAAGAGGTGCTCCTGCATGCTCACCTGGGTAAGAGCTCACCTGGGTAAGAGCTCACCTGGGTAAGAGCTCACCTGGGTGGTGCAGCTGCACCCTTAACTTCCTGCTCACACACCTGTGGGGTTTCTGTGGAGTTTTTAAGCTGCAGGAACTTAGTTGTGGAGAATACCATCATTAAAGACATCTCAAGGTTTAGAAGACCCACAGTGAAACTCAGTGGAGCGATGTGTGTGTAGCAGTTTTGCACTCAGGTGTTCAATAGACAGGGGTCTGTTCTGCCACACCCAAGGTGCTGTAGCTGCTTTTTGCTGTCCTGTTACAGTGCACAGAAAAACTGACATGAAATCTGGGAGACTTCCTCATCTTTCTAGGGCCACGTCTCTTGCTGACCAATGCAAACATTTTGGAATGGGGGAAAAAACCAACTACAAACCCAAACCACCAATACCACAGTGTTACTAATTTTTTCATGCTTGAGGAAATAGTCTGTCCTGACAGTTGCATGCAGTGAAGGTGCCCTCCCTGCTGCAGGAGGTGTGTGCCTAGCTGGGTGGCACCAGCAGCATGTCCTCAGCTCTAGCTCTGCTCCTGGGCAGGTGGAGTTAGTGAGGAGGGGACAACTAGTTGAGGAAGATGAAGTGGGTGCATGCATGAAGAGGAGAGCTCAGTGACTAGTACATGTGTGTCAATTACCAGCTGGGAAGGTAAATGGTGAGAACACTGTTCATATGTATAAATATGTTTGCTGCTCTCTTCCAGCTGTTGTGGTCCAGGAGAGCCTGTAGGAGCTGGGCTCCTAGCTGGCTTTGCCCTCTGCAAAGACTTAGGATCAAAGAAGAATTTAAACTATGTTTGAAAATCTTGACACCTCTTTTGGGTTAGTTAACACCCCTCTCCTGGGTGAGTTAATGGCTTTTTCCTCCCTGGATGTGCACACTGCTCAAAGCTGCTGTGGGGAGACCCAGAGGTTGCTTTGGAGTCATAGCCAGAGGAAGGTGCTTGCGAGGGGTGTTTAGGGGATGTCTGGCCCACCCAGTAAAGCATCATGCACGTGGACTTACCTGCTGGCAGTAAGTGCTGGGCTGCCCACTGCTGCGAGGCCTTCAGCTCAGCTCTGGTCTGCTGCAGCTCTTTCCACAGGGAGTTCAGGAAGAGGTTGTCCCCTCTGGTGTCTCTGCTGAAAAGCTGTCTCCTGAGCCTCCACCTCTGCCCTCCTCAGCCCAGTGCCCTCCAGCTGGCTGAGCCTGCTGGACACGTTGTGGCTCAGCAGCAGGATGTGCTGGAGAACCTTGCCTTGCTCAGACTCCTGGAGCCTCTTGGCTTGCTCACCGCTCCTCAGGAGCACCTGCTCTACCTGTGCCACCAGGTGGGAGGTGACCTGCTCGGCCAGGGCAGCGAAGGTGCCCGCGAGGCTGGTGCTGAGCTGGCTCAGCTCTGCTTTCAGCCCCTGCAGGTCCCCCTTCAGCATCTCGTCCAGCCCCTGCAGCATCATGTTCTCCTTCATCTGCGAGTTCTCCAGCATGATGAAGAGCTTGTCCCACTTGCTGTGCTCTCGCTGGCAGTCGCACGAAACAGCTGGAACGGAAGATACAGATGTTGCTGCCCCTTAAATTTCCTAAACAGAGCGTTTGCCAAGCCCTGGCTGTCCCCATGTCCCTGTGGCAGGGCAGGGCAGTGCAGCAGGGTGTGCTCCAGCACTTCCCCAGCTCAGAACCCTCTGCAGCCTTTTGCAACTGGGGGGACAGAGGAAATTCCAAGGCACAGCAGCCAAATGCTTTAGTCTTTGCTGTTGCTAATAATCTGCTAATAATCTGCTAATAATCTGCTAATAATCTGCTAATAATCTGCTAATAATCTGCTAATAATCTGCTAATAATCTGCTAATAATCTGCTAATAATCTGCTAATAATCTGCTAATAATCTGCTAATAATCTGCTAATAATCTGCTAATAATCTGCTAATAATCTGCTAATAATCTGCTAATAATCTGCTAATAATCTGCTAATAATCTGCTAATAATCTGCTAATAATCTGCTAATAATCTGCTAATAATCTGCTAATAATCTGCTAATAATCTGCTAATAATCTGCTAATAATCTGCTAATAATCTGCTAATAATCTGCTAATAATCTGCTAATAATCTGCTAATAATCTGCTAATAATCTGCTAATAATCTGCTAATAATCTGCTAATAATCTGCTAATAATCTGCTAATAATCTGCTAATAATCTGCTAATAATCTGCTAATAATCTGCTAATAATCTGCTAATAATCTGCTAATAATCTGCTAATAATCTGCTAATAATCTGCTAATAATCTGCTAATAATCTGCTAATAATCTGCTAATAATCTGCTAATAATCTGCTAATAATCTGCTAATAATCTGCTAATAATCTGCTAATAATCTGCTAATAATCTGCTAATAATCTGCTAATAATCTGCTAATAATCTGCTAATAATCTGCTTGCCCCTGTGGAGCCTCCAGCTGCCTCTCCTGCTGACACCAACATCAATAGCACCCGCTTCTGAAAAATAGCCGTACTAAGAGCTGTGCCGAGAGAGGCGGCAGAGGAGGAGTTAAAACCCACTTACTTTCCTCCGGGCCGTGAGCAGGACCCTCGATTTCATTGTCCAGATTCACGTACAGGAGGTCGTAGTCATCGTCTTCATCCAGCGCGGGAGCAGCAGCCCCGGGAAGGGAGAAGAGGGCGAGGAGGGAGAGGAGCCCGCGGGGCAGCATCGCGGGGTTGCGGGGTCCGGGGGGCTGCGGACGGAGGCAGGAGCCCCAATAAATGCTGGGAGGGGGATGGATGGGCGGGCGGGGCGGG